AACGTTAATTGGGTGCATATTCATATATTCCGTTGTGCCTTACTGATTTCTTTTGAGAGTAATTTGAATTTCAAAAGAAATCAGCAGGACACAATTGAATATATGAATATACACCCCCCAATTAACGTTCTATTTACGCCTCTGTTGGGAACGCAATAGATGCTAGTTTGATGGCCAACACACTCACAAGTTTGATGTATTTTTTACTCACCGTTTCATATACAGATATCCGTACTCGACTAAAAACTTGAAATTTACTGTCCACCCCTATCGAACATAGTTTCTAAATACCCCTTACTCACATGACTGTACACTACTAATGATTAACTATTATGATTTCGTAATTCAAATGTTCCCAGTTCCCTAAAATTTCTATTATTTTTATTTTCTTTTTTTTTTATAATTTATCATAAAGTCGCATTTAATGGATTGCCGATGCATTACACGAAAATAATGGAATGTCAGAAATGTTTCTGCAATCTTCAGGCCAATCAAGAGTGCTATTTGATGAAGTGACTCTTGCTATATAATAGACCATACTATATAACTAAACACGACCTTTTTTTACGTCTTTGATAATTTGTTGTCAAATATTTCACGTTAAATCAGCGTGCCAATGTCTAAAATGTAACGTTCTTTGTTTCTAAGTTATATGAGTTTAAGTTATGAAATATATGACCTTCCTCTTGATCTTGTTTATGAACTGATGAAAATATTATGAAGTATTTTTGTAACATAATACACAATGCTATTGACTGAAAGGAAACACATTTCGGTAACTTTCTACCATTTGAGTTTTCGCACCCGTTTCGCTCATTGTAAATGGATATTAAAGTGGTTCTATGACGAAAACCTAACGTTAAAAAATCATCGATTTTAGCATTCAATAGTTTAAACACATATCAATTATTGCTTTCGTAAAATGTAAGCAAAAATAATAATATAACGAGGAGGTTATGAACATTTGAAATGTCTAATTTTCATGTCCGCCATTAAAATCGGCCATTTTGAATATTTGCAATCAGCAAAGGTCTGTGACGTCATAGTCTTAACACGGCAAGAAGCGCACATTGGAAAGTATACAAAGTAATACATAAATAGAGCAAAAAAATGTCAAATTCATCGAGATCTAGCTCGCTCTCTGAGTCTTCGATCGAGACCAACGCATCAGTTTCTTCATCGGAATTTATGACGGCAAATTCGGACGAATCTAATTAGGAAATTTTGCCATTTGCCGGTAATATTGAAGCGCTTGCTTCGCCGGATGAAATTGCTGAGTACGAAGCTGCAGTCGCAGAAGAACGGCGGTTGAAGACATGCAGCAAGATCGTTTTGATGCCCGTGTTGATGTTACTTCATGGTAAGATGTCATTCTTAGTGTGTTACTTTGATCTGAATCGTCTGCCGTTAGCTATGATAACTTTATGGAAACATACAATTTGGCCAATATTAAAGGTGTGAATGTGGCCATTGTTCGTTGGATCTTGTTGTCAACCCTCAAGAGTGCCGATGCTGCATGGAAATAGAGCAATGCCGTGGTAAAATGTATCAGTTCGAAATCGATGAAAGGAAATGCATTTTGGATCACCCTGGCTTTAACGAAGTTTGCCTGAACGAATTTGCTCTTCAAGCAGCTTCGTTAGGTTTAAAGACCAAAGGTCATCGCATGATACAGACACTTCATTTTGTATTTCCTTTAAAACCTTAGTATAAATGTATATTATATATTGAAAGTTTGCCTGGATGTATTATTGGTTCTCTCAAATTTTGAAAATTTATCATCTGCAATATGTGTAAGTATATAATAATTGCAACTTGTGCTAACCTGACGCCGCTCTCTTGACGTTGTTGGTGTTTGTGATTTCTTCCAAATAGTAGGTACGGAACCAGGTTTGTGCTGTCTAGCCATACCACCCAAATGGAATAAACGCTCAAAACAATCATCCGAGAAGTGATTCGAACAAATCATAAATCGAATTTCGCGCGAACTCGGATTAAAGTTTGCGCCCTTCGTCTGAACAAATTTAACCCAAATTCTTCTCAGACTCGTCGTTTGGGCTTTTATGTAATGAAATGCCTGTACTTCTATCAGACTTATTACTGCAATCTTGCACGACACAGCGTGTTGAAGGCATGTTAAAAAAATTGAGTTATACAACGTTTTAAATCTCTATTTGTATATAGTGTTATATTGTAAACAGCCGCGAGTTAAGACTATGACGTCACAAGCACCTTCCTTCTTGAAAATTCAAATATGGCGCATTTTAATGGCGGCTCTTAAAGTTCAAGTTTTATCGCTACGTAACTCGAGCAGCATGAAATACATTGCGCTAAAATTTCGCCAGAAGAGATTTTTTTACATACACTATTAATCTATGAAAAAAAAACGAGAGGCAAAATTTTCGTCATAGTTCCACTTTAATCAGAGTTCTAAACGTTAGAATGCGGAAGATAGCCAAATTAGATTGCTTTCTGTGCTATCTAAAGCTATGTTTGTCTCTCCTGACCTCAATATCTCCGGACATTGTGAGTGTGGTTGGGACAGACAGAAAAGATGGCGCTTAGTAGGAGTGGCAATCGCAGGGTAAAACCATACTTTTTGACTGTGAAGACATACTCTGAAAGAAGGAGAGTAAATGAAAGCGAATCCTGGAAGTGTTTGCAAGATAATTTAGTAAAGTCGTACATCGAAAATTGTGCCATGTTACCAGGACAACTGCGTAAAATGTGTAGAAGATGGGATACCAGCAAAAAAAGCAGAAATTAGATGTCGTGATTGCGGTCACGGACAGTTCTACTGTTTTGAGTGTGCGGAATCCCTTCATCGAACGAGGAATGTTTTCCATTTGGTTGAAGTATGGAAGGTATTAGTCGTCTATTAGAAGGCAATTCTAGGTGATTATTTCCAAAAGTCAATTCTTCAGATGAAATATTTTTGCTTTTTACGTTTGGAATTTGGCTTGTTAAGCTCTAGTATTCATCAAATGCTGGCAATTTTTTACAACCAGGTCTTAACTCTAAAGTAACTTAATCTGTAGTGTTTTGTTAAAACTATCAATCATTTTCAAGAACGATATGCTGCTATATGCTGTGCGTGGTGCCTTATGTAATGTATACATGTTCTGATGCTTAAATAACTACTCTTTAGACTGATTGTGAAATGTTTGTTCCATTACTTTTTGGTGGTATATTACATGAAAGTCAGCATGCTAACTGCTCTTCAACAGAAATACATACTATAATATGTTTGAATGAAAAGGTACAGTGTGGCAACAATGACAATATTTTGACTTTGACTACATGTAAATGTGTATATGTTAGTCATACTGTTAAGTATTAGCTTCATTTAGGCCAATAATTTCTATGTTAATTATTTGCATATCAAATAATCCAATTTTTAATCTCATACTAAATTTAGGTCGGCAGCATTTAAAATTTTTGAATTCTGTCAGTGTATTAAGGATGCTGAAAAAGTAATTAAACTCCAGCTGTGGCCAGGCTCATCTTCTAAACCCAAAATTGCATTTCACTTTGACTTCATGTATTTTGCTGAAAAATTCTTGCTTGAAAGCCATGTATCCTTGCACAAATTTTGCAGCACTGTTAAAGTTGAACATCCTGAAATCCTACCTAGACTGGTATGTATTTCTCATAGACCTGAATTGTGTACGATGTGATAGTCTTGCCATCAAATAGTGGAAATAGTTGGGTTGTACTTTGCAAAAAAAATTATTTAATCACTGTTATTTACAAACAACATAAATAATGCGTATTTGCCTCAAATAAGGTAAGAGTACATTCAAATTGTACATGAAGATTCCTTTGCTGCTATGACATTATGTATTCAACCTTATTTTATTTTTGAAACAAATGCATGGGTTTACTAGGTGTTCACTTTATTCTTGTTAAGGTCAAAAACATATATAATGTGTTAAACAATGGATCATTTGATGAATACAGGTATGTTATATGTAATGAAACAAGTCTATTTACAGTTATTGTAGACCTATAAGTCTATTTACAGTTATTGTAGACCCAGTTATAGTTAGATTATATGTGTAGAGTAGTACAGTCTAACCTGTTTTAAGTACACACCATGGGACAACAGACTAGTGTCAGCTTAATGAAAGTGTCAGCTTGATTGAGGTTTCATCGTTATACTTTCATTATTATTAGCTATATGAGATTAAATTTTGAATTTTACACAGTATCTGCTTAATACAGGGTCATTTGATACAAGAGGTTTGACTGTATATATTATATCATTTAAGAATTTGATTTTTTTGTCAGATATTTCTAACACCAAGTCAGATCATTAAAGTTTATACAGAAAGACCTCATTGATTATAGAAATTGCCCTCTTTGCCCACAAGTCAGTAATTGATTTCTTTTTTTCTACTATTTGTTTTGTGAACTATTTAAATTATATGTTTTTTGTCACGTATATTATCAGAACATTTAAATTTGTTGTAAAATATGAAGTGTTACACGTTTACCATAAAATTCATTTTATTTTATTAAAGAGCTTTGTTTGCTTTAGACTGGTGAGTTAGGTGTGGCTATTCATTCCATGGATGCTTGCTTTGGTCTAACTCGTAAAAAGTTGGCAGGGAATAGTTTTGCCATCCCAAACCATTGCTGCTTTAAGTTTGTTGATCAAGATGAAGTAGATGATTTTGTTGATCATTATAGCAAGTCTAATAACAAAGTAGCAGAGGTAATTATTGCATCATGAAGGACTTTGAAGCCTATTCAAAAGTATTCTGGGAAGGGGGAGAGTGAATAGTTTGAAAACAAACTTTATATGTAGTCCAATGGCAAAGCCAGCACTTTTTTACTTTTACATTGCAAATATTTGTGTAGTCAATTACTGGAAAAACAATGAATGGATTTGATTTTCTAAAGAAATTATTAACAATTTTGCTGGCAAATTTGCATTGTAAGAGTAAAAGATTTGGCAGACTTCGTCCCAGAGAAAAGTAGGTCTATGCTTCATGCAGGTCCATGGGCCCTAATACATACGTAAGTAGCTACGTGGATTTAAAATCAAAATTACAAACAGCCAATTTTTTTCATTTCTTCTAATTTATCAAGTTTATGCATGGCCTATGTCTTGATTGTGTAATCTGTCATGTTTATTTTTACAGTAATAAAACAATTGTTATGTAAGGGCTAATCTATAATGTGCTCCAACTTCTTTTAGAGTTGTCAGATATTTAAGGCAGGAGAAGTTACAGAAGCACTTCACTTCAAAGGAAAAAATGAACTGTTTGATGAAAATGGAGTGTTTGGTAGTTGTTGCAGTCGGCATTCACACCCTGGACAATTTTTCAGGACTAAATATTGTGAAAGATTAGTGTCTTAGCCTTGGTTTGCACGTAATGATCAATGTTCTTTATCTTTGATGAGGTAGTATGGAGAACAAATCATCGGGTTATAATTTCTTTTCCTGTGTCAATTTTGAAATATAGGGTCAAAGGACAAAACGATTCTGTGCTAACGAGATCTATTATTACCCTTTAATCATATTTAGTCTCTTATTAGTGTCCTATTATTAATATTCAGAATTTCGTATTCGCTGTTCCTAATCCAAAGCATTTTAAAACATGCTACCAAAGTCCTGGTTTTGATTTAAAAATAATGTATGATATTGGATGTGTATTATGATCACATTTAAAGGTATTTTTATGTTGGCATGTATGATGTGGGAAAAGTTTATTCACCAACTAAACTTTGAATAAATTGGTACCGTTCTAGGCAAACAAGAGGCAGGACATTTTGTCAAAAGGGTCATTTTCCGTGCCGATATTTCATTGTTATGGACACAAGGCTTCATGCCAGGTAATGAATAAAACTTTGTACCTGGTAATGACAGGAATGGATTAAGAGGCGGGATAACGGAGGAATGTGCTCGCCTCCAACCTTGATTAGTAGAGATGGATGAGGAGTGGCAGTTTCCCTAAGAAATTTATGCATACCAAGGCATCAAGCGATCGTAATTGGGGTTTATGGAGCACAATTTCAAAAATCTCCTATCATTGTATATAAATAACAAAATTTAACAAAAAATATCTGGCATGTTACGGCAACAAACAGCCACTAGAATCTTATCAAAACTAGAGCACCCTCTCCCTCCAGAAAAATACATCCCTGGGTAATGATGTAGCGATTGAAGATAGACAATCTTTTCTGCTCTGATTTCTTCCTTGATAAAAAGTCCCCGTAGGTAAAATATTATTTTTTAATGTCTTCAAAAAACAGGTCACGTTCAGTCCTAGAAGGCTCGATGGTTTTGGTCTTACAGATGGTGAAGCTATTGAAAGGCTCAGGGCTTACCTTCGTGGGTTCTCAGCAATTGCTAAGGAGATGACTGCCAGTAGAAGAGTATATATTTTGACAGACGCGCTTCTTCACTTATCTAGAAGAAATTTTAGCTATGCAGGTGCTTGAATATTGTCATTGCGTTATGTGTAACTATGCGTTGACACAATGAAAATGTTTTTATTTGTTTGTTGCGCCTTAATTGTTTTACATTTCTGTATATGATTTGTTTCAGGAAAGTCATTAACGTCGAAGATTAAAAAATGTCTACAACTTAAAATTAAAACGCAACAAGAAGTGAAGGATTTGTTTAGCGAACTACCTGGTAAGTAGTTCTGGTAGGTTAGAAATTTGTTATGTTTTCTCTGGCTGAAAAGTATTTAAGATTTGTTTTTGCCTAACCAAACTCTCAACTCAATTTACATCCAAGGAAAATACGTCGTTATTTAGTAAAGGCTTCTTCATCGAATTTAAAATCTGTTATGAAAAGATAAAGATTTATTAGTATTGATTGTACTTCAAAATAACCTACTCGTTTTTACGAAATACTCTACTAAAAAAACGAGATTTTTTTATTGTACGGGAAAATACAAAACCTGTAACATATATTTACATACGAATTTATTTTGTTTGTTAGTGACGTACGATCCTGAAATTGTCAGTGGGAGGCCAGAGAGAAGGAAATTATGTCAAGAGTCAACCCAGGTATATAATGTTATTCATGGGAAATAGTTTCATTCTTAACAATTCAGTCTGTAGGATATAAAGACATACTTTTTAAATACAGAACATAAAGATACCACGGAGAAGTAGAAAGTGACGTACGTTCAAAAGCTACTGCATTTTAAACAACTTAGGTAGGTTCTTTAATGTACTAAACTGGCTGTTTATCTATAATACATGCCTATAGACGTTTTAGCATTTCTTTTTAGCCTAATTGGTGAATTATTTAAATTCTTAGTTCTACATCATTCGGATGTTTTGAAGAAAATCAGGAGATAACCTCTGAAGATTACTTAATTTATCAGATGTCGAAAAAGCTATACCAGTATGTATAAATTTGTCAAAGAAATATTTTGCTTTAAAGTTGTTTTTTTAAATACGCGCAAAATTTATATAAACAGGTTTCGAAAGATTTTAAAAGATATTGAACGAAAGCGTTCTGTAAAAGAAAGATCGAAACCTGGTCATCCTAATTTTGACGTCGTTGCATTGCTAGTCATACAAAGAAAAGGAAAAGATACCGTCGGAGCTTTACATGGACTTTCCATCGAAAGGCATTTCTTAATAACATTGAGAAAGAAGTATGCAGGTACTGTAATGCACTGTAAATTTCGAATACCTGTAACCTAAGCTATGTTACCATATCTGTCTTTTGTTGTTCTTGTAAATGTTAATTTTGTATTCTTTTTACTTGTTTAGATGGTCAGAAAATTGCCACTCGCTTGTCCAGGCAAATCACCAAGGTCACGAACAAGATGAAATCAACGATTGAGAAACTCAATGCTGCCATTGATTTGCTTCGTGATTTTATAAACAGTTTACCCGATCGTCTGACATTTGACAAAACGAAAGATCCTACATCAGACCTTTATGAGGAATTTGAGTCTGGTGAAGATGACATTCTAGGGAAGCTCGGTCCCAGTATACACAAAGAGGAGGGCTATTAAAATGTACTTAATCCTAAAACGATGGGACGAGGAAGAGAACTTTTAAACTTGGAAAGAGAAAGGCTTCTATTGTATTACACCAATCTTAGCTCAAAAATTGAGGAAGCACTTGCTGATCTTGGGGATCTGAGCAGCGATGAATTCATGCTTCGTTCGAAGCATGAACTGATGAGATTTAAAACCAAATTGCGGAATGAGTTGTTCAGCTTGAAGAAAAGCTTTGAACTTCCACTTGGAGAAACTTTTCTTCTCCAGGCTGAGGTTGTCATCTTAACCAATGATGTCAAGATTCCCAATGATTCTGAAACCTCACCGTATGGAGGATTCGATACTGAAGATGAAAACATCGAAGAACTCACTGAAGTGGACAGTGAAATTGAATAGACGACATAGCTACTATTCGTAAAGTTATAGCTACTTTTTATGTACTTACTTATTATGTAATTTAGTTGTTCACGTATCTAGTATAATAACTGATATCACGCAAACATTTATGGTTTTGTGACGTCATGTAAGTGCACAGTCATTTTCTCTTCTTCTGTACAACACCGGAAGTTTTGACCCGTAGCTGAATTGTGAGAGAACTATGTTCTTTATTATTTATCAATGTCTTACAAGTAAGAGTTTATATGCGACATATATCCCAACCAATTAGCTCTGTCTGCCCAACCCAACTCATCTAAAATTGTGAGCATTCATGTCATATATATAATAGCCAATGAACTCTACAACAACTGGAAGGCTAACTCATTATACACAAACCTAGACTTGTTTGAAGCCACATAGAAGCTGATTTGCTGCTTCGCGTGTATCTCGCGTGGACTGTTTTATTTGCGTGACGGATTGTTTTGCAAAAACTGCCAACTTGGAAATATAATGCTAGCCTAAATGCTTTATTTTTTTCAAAACCGTTTGCAAAATTTGGTTATTAATGTGTTAAGATGCATTGTGGACGTTCCAAGACATGTTTTGTATACGTAATGCTGTATTATATAAAACATAAAAGGGAGAACTTGTTTCGAAATATGAATTTCTCATTTGTCGTCGCAAGACCAAAAATTTACGATAAAACTGATAACAGGTAGTCCGTATCTTTGAATGCTGTGCAAAATACACACAATCCACTTAATATAACATGTTTCATAACAATTTTATTGCTTTCAAAGTTAGACTTGCTTTGTAAGAATTTCACATGCTCTTTTTGTAATGTGTGATAGTGATGATTTGAAATTTTGAGCTGTGGGTGATTGTTGGTTCTTGTCATTTACTTCTCCCACTTCTTAAGAACTGGTGGAAGATTTGACATGCATCCATATTTGTGTATTGAGCATTTTATCAGCAAGTTCATGCTTATAAATAAATAGCCAAGTGTACACTATGACAAGTATTGCTAATATAACCTGCTCCACATAAATGCCAAAAAGCAACCCTCATCCTCAGTGGTTTGAACCAGGGTTTTAAAATGATTATAAAGCAAGCAAAGCTATATCATGTATCATAGTATATTTTATAGTATATCATATTGAATATAAAATTAGTTTTTTCTTGTAATACAGATGATGATAAATGTATATGTAATATATTAAATTTTAGGATGTGTGTTTAAAATGTTCGGTCATATTTGTGAAAATATATGATGATTCTAAAATATTAGAGTAGTACTTTTTCATACTTGTATTACATTACAATTTTTACTTAAGTGTTTCAAAAGTTATGAATATGGAGTGTCAATTGGGTTTTTGTCTTTTTTTTTAATTGGGTATTGTCCCTTTTGACTCCTTAATGGTGCAATTAATAATAACACAATAATATAGCATAACAGTTTTTTTAAAACGAACTCAAAATATTTTTTTGCTAGCTTTATGAAATATTTTGCAAAGTGTTTTTCATTTTGTTTACGCTCTGAACATTCAAAAAGGAGTGGGGCGAGCTAATTTTGCTCGGAAACACAAAAATTAACGAAAGACAGCGTTTTTTGCCCTGACAGCTTCATTTTCACAGATTCAAACAATATTATAAGGCTAGACAAGTGCATTTTACATCCTTTTAATGAAAAAAAACGAGTGGTGTCAGTTTTGTATTCAACTTACAAGGCATGTTTTCACGTGCCAAACAAAGTTCGCTTTTCATCCTTCTAAAAAGAAGCTTAAAGGACACATGCAAGCTAGAAGACAACTTTATTTTATTGTAATGCCTATAGCGTGAAAATAAGACGTACCAAGTTTCAAAGTCGTCCGCGAAATATTTAAAAAGATATTTAGGGTTATAATCGGTAAAAACACGATATTCGATGACCATTGCTAAAACGCCGTGAGATTGTTTATGTCTGGGAACTGGGAAAGAGTGACGTAATAGTTGACATAAACAAGCTTCGTTCTTATATCGTTCTACGACTTGCACGCAATTCTTGCACGGCTTTCGGTAGTTTGCTATTACTGTTTTTTATTTAACAAAAATTAATGGATTCTTCTGAAGAAGAAGCCAATTATGATATTGTCATCAATAACAATGAGGTACAACCTTACATGTTTGAGCCTTTGGCCAACGCGGAAGGTGGTCATAGTAATGACAATTCTTCGTCATCGGAAAGCGAAGATGAATACATTCACAGAATTGGAAATGTTGAATGGTTAGTTGCATTTTATTGATGCTTCATTGTTTTTCCCAAAGTAGAAAGAATGTTTATCTCTTAGGTGCGAGTGTGGCTTTTGTGTGGTCATGAGTACAGGACGGGAAAGTATATGTTGCCAAGAGGTAAACAACACTGATCCTCTGATACATGGCGATCATATTTGCATCACACAAGAGGAAGAGTTTGCCACAGTATGTACAAACGAAGCTGTCTTAAAAACAGCTATGGTCGTACACACATGACATTGGACCTATGCCTGAGAGTGAAGAAAACGAGTAAATATTACCTTAGAAGTGTAATTACGTGTATGTCGACAAGTGTATAATGCCGATAAGTATCTTAGACAAAATTTTGTATCGTTCAGAGCATTATGCTACACGGCGTACCGACAGTGGACGGCTTGGGTGCATGGCAGGTTGGGAAAAAAGTACCGACTACCCATACCTTCTTGTGCTGTGGACAAAATCCGGAAAGCATTTCCTTCGCCTTCTGGAGAATACAAAGGATTTGAATATGCTCAACACTACTGAATGGTAGGGCTTATGGCGTATGACAAAGTCTGTTCATTTGTAATTATGTTTATTTCATGTGGGACGTTATTTCTTTTTATTTATTAAAGCGAGATTTATGTTGCTTAATGGCTTCAGCTTTGCTGATTTTTGATTTGTGGTGAGTCAATGGGACAGGTATTTCTTTCACTCCAGCGACATCAAGAGCTTTGGACAGTGTTGGATTAATGCGTCTGCAGTACAAAACTTCTTTCATCAAGTCCTTAACATATCCTGAAAAGCAAATCATTATTTATGTTGGCTTTGCATTGCACTTTGAGAAAAGGTAAGTTTATTTTTCTGTGCTAACCATAAGTGCTGTCAACTTTCACTGGTTTGATGACCCTTGTCCTTCTTTTGACTTTGAATAAGCCACTCTCCAAATCAATGCCTCTTCTGTTTGCCTACCATTCTTCGTTTTCTGAGGTTTATTTCCATTCTCATTGAAATGAAGAGCAGCAATAAACAATCTACAAATGAATGTTAAGTTTATGTTTACAACTATTGCAACTTATTGCTTTTGCAATGATGACTTTTAAGTAATCATACACTAGTCATAATTATATTACCTTGCTTCCATTGATCTGTAGAAAAATGGGTATGTTTTGGTGCAAAAGAATCACCACTCGGTGGAAACCTTCGATGGATGAAGTCTGCTTCTGATAACTGAGTTTTCCAATATCTCTCATGAGATACTTGGACTCAACAATCGAAGACAGCTCAACATAAGCTTTTGAACCTAAGATCAGAAGTTAGTTAACAAAAAGAAAAAGAATGTTGATGTTACTTTGAAATTTATTTGCTTACAATACCTTTTTTATCCACATTCTAGGCTCTAACATATCATGTTCACATTTTGGGAATACATCACTATGTCCCTCATGGATGTCACATATATGATTGAGAACTGACAACCACTTTGCCTTGACAAGTTCTTTATCACCATTGCTGGAAGCAGCACACCAGTATACATGGTTGGAAATTGATTGGGCCCAATCCGACAATAATTTGCAACCATTTTTTTTTGATGCTGCCAAAATTTTCTTTTTGATTCCTGTTGGAATTTGATTATTGATGAAATGTGTAAAGGTTGGTTTGTTATGACAATCTATACCTTTTGCTACATGCCATACATCAAAGTAGTGCTCAATTTTCGGTCTTTGTCTTGACATGTAGGATTTGATTTGAGCATGTCTGTCTGTGGTCATTGACTTCACCTTCATCCCACTTTCATCAAACTTTGCCAGACATCTTTTAATCCCTCAAGTTCCATTGCTCCAGAGTTCGTCACTTCATTGGACTGTGTAACATAATTATGTGAGTATTCTAACCATGTTTTATGTACAGTTGTTGAAGAATTGTTACCTGAACAAGTTGTGTGTCTAAAATGTTGTTAGATTCCAAATCCATGCAGCTATATGACCCATACTTGGCACAATATCCAGGCGAATCACATCTTCCATCTCCTCCAAGGTTAATGTTCCTTTCTCTGATTGATTCTAGAAGATGCTTTTGGTTCATATGCCAAACATTTGAAACACTGGGTATCAAATACGCTGTTTGAATATTGCTATATGTGCGCTCTGACAGAAATTGTATGCCTGAGTGACGAAGGAATTGAAGAACTTTGCTGGGGCTACTACCACTAAACAAGATGCTGGCAGCAAAGACCAAGTTACCCAAAGGCATTCGCCCATGCAGAGGTTGGCTATTCCAGTCTCGAACATAACCACAATGACATTTTGCTAGTACGTTAACCATACTACCAGTCGTTTTGGTCACAATGGAACAGCTTTCACCACAACATGGGCATTGACTCACTAACTGTCTCAGGCAACTATCAAACACTATGTATTTTCTCTCATTTTGAGCATCTTTCCTATAACATAAAAATTACCATCAGAATCAGAGAGAGATAAACGTAACGTTCTGAGAAACATAACAGAGAAAAGCAATGTAAAGAATAGTCAGGTGACTGGATAGTTGGTACTAACGTCGCATTGTCATTGTCGGATTCTTCATTTTCGCTTAACTCATTTGAACATTGAGAGTCTGATCCATTGATGCTATTGCTCATCGTCGACGTGCTTTCTGTATCAGACCATACAGCGCTATCCTCAAAATGTTCAATTTCACATGACGTCGTCTGTGTGCTGTGATTTTTTTGTTGAAATGAACTCAACCTCCGTACCTTAGCATAAAATTATCGTATTGCTGGATTTTTCACAAAAATCAAAACAGCCGAAATGGAAAGTCTATACCTCTACTTATCATATTTGGCACTTTTGTTTGAGTGGTTCTTGACCTTACGTGTTTTTGCGGACGGATTGTTATGGCTGCTTGGCATTTCACATTGCGCTTCTAAGGTACGTTAAGGAATTTTTTATGAGTTAAAATAACAAAGAAAAGATCAAACGACATTAGTCTGAATTAGTTACCACTGTATATGTTTGTGTTTCGCTGTCTACATATATTTTGACATCTTTCATCTTAGACAAACTTCCTTTGAGGTAAAACGCACTAACATTTCGAGCCGATGTCGACACATCGTGGTCGTCGTCTACAAGAACGCCGTCTATAATCTAAAATTATAAAATTGTCTTCAATTTGGTAATGCTATATAGCTTAGTTTTTGATAAATGTAAACAAATATTGCTAACTATAACTATAATATTCACCTCTTGCCTTCGTCTCTTCTCAAATGCAGTTCTAACATTTGTTGGCTGCTTCCTTTAGATGCTACACTTGTGGGTTCCACAGAGTATTCAAAAATCGTGGGTACAGCATCCTTCTTAAGGCGAAGCCGTCCTGCTGTCCATCCTACTGATTGCATCGCTTCAAAATTTTGCACGAAGCACCAACTCTCGAAATGTGCGAGCACAATTTTGAGCTCTTTGTTGGCTTCCAATTTTTGCGTCGGATTTTTCAATCCAAATATCTCGCATACGCTTGTTTTCGGGAAACGAAAAAAATGAAACCTTTTGCTGCGTTTCGTGGTTCTTAGAAGAACCGTTTTTACAATTAAATGCGGCACAATAAACCATATTTTCAATGCTAAATTGTCGTGTTGTTAAGAAGTTACCAATATATTTTGAACGAAGCGCGCAATTGACCGCGTTTAGCGAATGTCAACTATTACGTCACAACGACATCGGTAGCTGTCGCTAGCTCGTCGGGCATTTTCAATACGTTATCAATAAAGCATCAACTTTAAACCTCCATATCTTCAAAAATATTTATCCTTTGAGTCTCAAACTTTGGTGAACTATTAGTTGGAGCTATACCTTCATGTAAAGTACAAAAATAACAATCCGAATTTTATGTTGCATGTGTCCTTTAAACATATACAAATGTCGTTCAAACTTGTTTTATATTAAAGTCCAAACATTGTTTAAGATTTTTAGACATTAAGCTGGCTTGAAGACAACTGTTTTTTGCAAAAAATCCGGCAATTTCGAAGTCATGTATTTCGCCTCCGTACCTTCAATGGCGGCGCTCATGCAGGCTTCAAAGATGGCGTCCAAGTTAGCCTTCCAGTTGTTATGGATTTCATTGATAATAGCCGAGACGTATCCAAAGCTTGATCAGTTGATCAACGGGGTCTGGGGCGAGTTTTTGAAAACACCGAATTTCATGATTTGTCCGTCTAATCATCCAATTTGTTTTTTAACGTTATAGGCCTTCCATGTCTCATATTTTGCTCGAGATTAACTCCAAACAGATGACTAACTTTACCGATGTTCAAGCTAACGAAACGATGCTGACGAGAGAGTGCGGTCTGGTTCGGCACCCTTGATGGTACTGCCGCTGTAAGAGGTGAATGAGAAATGAAACCGAATACGTGTTTGGATTGAAATAATATAAAACTGAAAATTGTTAATCTGCGTTACTGAGCACTATTGCCATTTCACAGAACACGTAAGCCATTATACAGATAGAACACTCTTGTCATGTTGCACGCCTACCTTAATCATTGCACGTATTACGTATCTCGAATTCTTGCCATGAGCTTCAAATATTCTCTACGCAATACCAACCTCCCTACAATCACATGCTGAAGTAACATTGTTGTTAAGAAAAGAACGTGATCGGTTTTTTTGGCTTTTATTTTATTATAAGGTGCTACATACTCTGCTACTAATATGGTCCATGCTATAAGGGTCGTTGTACTAACTAAAAAAAATGAATATTTTATTTGAAACATAACTTGTTAGAAAAATTTAAAGCCACAACTGTCAACTATTTACTGTAACAAAACATTGCTACTGGCTACTGCATACTTTTGTGTAACAATCACATATGCTCGATGATATTGGATTATGCGGTGCTGTTTATGTCACAAAAAGCACCGTAAATTAAAAATGTCGACGCAACGGAATTCGAATTTCAAAATGTTAAAAGTGGAATTCATTTATGATATATATGTTGCTTTACTTTGAGTGTTCGTTGGTACCGTAAATGAATTTATCAAGGGCCAGGGTGTTTAATCAATTCTAGATGTTGTGGTGCAGAGAAATGAAAAGAGAGACGTGTATATTAGTTGCTTGTGTGAACAAATAAATCAAAACTAAGACAAACTAAACTTCTTATAAGCCAAATTGTGAACCCACTATAATTAATTTATCATAATGGTAATGTTTTGAAGGTGGTGGGTGTCTATCGAGGAGGGGACTTTATTAGTATGTGGCGTTGCAAGGAGGTGGGGGGCGTTCAATATGTATAAGTTGTTAATTTAATCTAGGGCGTTTATTAGATCTTTTACGTCACATATGCTCAAATATAATCTGAGAAATACAATTTGGTTTATGCAAACCAATGAGCCTTCGGAAAAACTTGAGAGCAGATCAGTGCAAGCAGGGAACCGAAGGTCTTGCATCTGCTCGAGTTCGCACAAACGACTTCAAGGTTTGCACAAGTCAGTTCAGGCAATGGAGTTGAAAACATTATTGTTGTGAAAGAAAAAGAAAAGAATAAGTTTGGGTGCCAGTATTTCTGAATCAAAGCTTTATGTGGAAGTATTGACAACAACTTAAGTCAGCAAGACTGCTTAGACTTTGGCATCTTGCTACATAAAGTAACTACTCTCCCTGTAATAAAAGAAACCTGTGCATTACGCCAGCAAGAGAAATTAACTCAATTGTCCAAAGCTATTTCTTCTGTTTGCATTGCATTGTCAATAGCAAGACGTTTAAAACATATTGCACAAACATAAATATTTTTTTAATGCATAAGTAGCTCAATTATTAAAGTTACTTTTACAAATATGATATCTTATTTGCATATCCAGTGAATTGTGCATGTCTTTGTGTAGGTGAAAGGTAGAACCCCCCCCTTCAAAAAAACCTTATTTTTCTATAAAATGTAGTTTATACTTTTGGGCTTTAATCCTCGAATTTTTAATTATAGAATTAGAATGGCTTATATTTGAATGGAAAAATCATGTTTTAAGAAACCATGTTCAATCCAAGTAAAAGTGACTTATTTATAATCCAACTAAAACTGAAAACTGAGTTGACTACAGTGCACATTTTGCAGTTCTGCCTGTTACTATTGTAAACAATGAATTTTTTTTTCATTGGTGTGAAATTGAAAACTATATATATCCCTGTTGTGATAAAATTTGAGTAACTTTCCTTTCAAAGGACTTGTTCAATATGAAGGTTTGGGTATAATCAGTAAACATCTCAAAAATTACATTGCCATTGTCCTTAATAATATTTTTTCCAAAGATTGTTTCCTTTTTTTTAATAAGATAAAAAGTATTGCCTGACTCATAATTTAGCCAACATCCTGTCAATTTACCTCTGGCGCTTATCTGCTGCAGAGCTTGAAGAGATCCCGTAAATGAAAAAAGCCAGAACTGACTTTCCTCATCACAGTACACAGGTAAAACGAAATGATTTGCATGAGACATATATGCATTCAATTTTTTTTAACTCCGTCAAAGCTTCTGGACATTGCACTTTCCAGTGTGTTGATATTAGAAGATATAGTTATAGAAGATATAGAAGGTGCACCTTTGCAAAGGTGCACCTTCTGACGTTTCAAGAATGAAAGAAATACTGTCCTGACAGTACATGATTTTCTGTATTTCCTTTGAGATATATTATCGTGGCTTATTTAGGCTAATGTCATCTGGTAGTCCTTCAACATGAAAACCCAACCAGAAAGATATGGAATGCGAGAACCAGTCACACCTTTTGCTTCACCTTTAAGAAAAATGCTCACTGACAAGAACTAACAATCATTATGACTTGAAAACATGACAGGGTAATTTTTTACAAAATTACAGAAAAAATTTTTGTATCTTCCATAAACTTTTTATTAAAAAACAGAAAAGATTTATTTATGCAGGAGTATCAAAAGATAATATTACACTATCACTGTAAGGTAAACACTACAATTCCGGAATATACAGGCAACCTTTGTAAGTAACTGTTATTAACAACATTATACTGTTTACAAAAGTATTTAATGAAAAATTTATTCAAAAAATATTTTTTTAAACTTGCAGCCATAGAATGAAATAATTTATCCAGGCCTGTGGTGGTTAATTACACCTGTATGGTCACGTCACTCTCAATGGGAAGACCTGCGTACAAGAATAAATAAAAAATTAACTTACTAGACTTCTTGTTAAAGAGCATTCTTACATCTTCATGAGTCCATTTCAGTTTTTCTCTCGGTTTACATTTACCAAATATAGCATACAAATTTTTTTTTAGCTATACAAACTACAATTTTATCCCAAAAAGCTTGCTTCGTGATTTTTCACTCTTTTCAGAGAGTTTAATGAAGAGTGAGGTATCACGAAGCAGGCTTGTCAATACAAAATTATAGTTTGTGAATTTTGTTATAAAAGAGTGCTCAATATCTTTATAGATTGAG